TTTTATGAGATTCTGTCCTTACATTTTGGCAGGTCTTAATCATTTCTGCAATATATTTGTGTTTGAGACAGGGTATCACTGTATAGATCAGGCTGGCCTTAAACTCACCAGATAGCCCAGGCTGGCCTCAAACCTGTGGTGACTCTTCTGCCTCAGCCTCCCAAGTGCTGGGAATACAGGTGTGTGCCACCGTGCCTGACAGTTTCTGCAGTATTTAAATTCTACCTTTAAGAAGAGTTTCTGTGAGAGGGGAAGATGCATGAGTAACCCAGGGGCAAAGGAGGCAGGGAGGGGAAACAGTTTCACCTTTAGAGAGCTTTTGTTTGTATGGTGAGAATAGCAACCCTGCAAAGGAACAAGATGAGCACCCTTTACAGAGCTGAGACATTGTTTCAATTTGCAACCAACTTGCTCCCAGACCTCTGCCATGTCACCCTCCAACAGGAACCAGGGACAGTGCTGGCAAATGACAATTAACAATTCAACAAGCTACGGCTCCAAAACCTTACATCCAGACATTTAAAGAAGTGCTGTAAGTGCTGCTTAGAGCACTTTTCCACCATAGACAAAGTTTGACCCATGATGATGGACACCAGTATGAAGCAGCCCTGAGCAGGATTTAAATTAACCAGTTGACTTTCCATGTTTACTTGTGAGTCTGTCCAAGGCCTAGGCTCCTTGTCTGGAGATGGACTGCAGACTCATAGTAAGTGAACCTCTGTGGGTCACTAATCTCTACTAAAACCTGTAATGGCAGATGAAGCTGGAAAACCTCAGAGGATAAGGCAAGATCACAGCCAGTGACACCTGGATCTGATCTCAATTAGATAAAGACTATAGCCTCAGGCATCTCACTCCAGGGTGGATTAATTGAATACCTTACTTGGAGAAGTCCTTGAGTGGTTCCACCCTTCTTGAGTACTCCCCTCCCTTCTTCTGATAACCAAATAAATACGGGCCACCCAGGGAAGGCCTTGGTCCTAGCCCTAAGAGAATCTTGAATTCTGTGAGAGGGCTTTGATCCTCCTGGAGCCCTGAAATCATTCCATTCACCTCTTTTTACTTAGCCTTCGCTGTACACTCTTTCAGGAGATTGTGGACCTGATCAGCCCGCAGTAACTAAGGGATATTTTTAACCCGATACTGTGATACAGTAACACAAAGAGAAAGCAAAAAGGAAAGATAAGAGAGTCTGTAAAGAAGCACTGCCCTGGCTCAGTAAGCAACTGGAAAGGACAGCCTCTGGGTTGAAAGGACCTCGTCTGCGACCTCGCTGAGACCTTCCAGGCTATTCTGTGGCTATGTCTCTCTCACCTAGACTAACAGGAAGAGCTGGCGTCCTGGTTCCTTTTCAGGCTTTGACTTGCAGTTTCGTACCTCACAGTGATGACCTGCTGTTTCTGTCCCTGAGACGTGAGTTTGTGCCCACGTCGGGCACACCTGACAGTGTGCGATCATGGATGTGCAGAGGGTGAGAGAGCTTACTCGGAGACGAGATGTAGTTCAATCACTGAGAACTCAAAACAAAAAACAAACAAAAAAAAAAAACCGAGAACTCAGAGGGGCTGCTTCTTGCTTCTTGGGCATAAGAAAGCCTCAGAGAAACAGCAACCAACTGAGACCTCTATGGTTATTTTTTGTAGCTCAAGGACATGAGAACAAAGACATAGAAGAAAAGCATTTTGCAACATATTGTACAGGAGCTTTGTCAGGGGGCAGGGCTGGCCTGGGCTGGTTTGTTACGTGGCACATGTCAGCCTAGTTTAGGCATCTTATCGGGGCAGAGGGGACACAATAACCAAACCTCTCGGGCAGTAACTGGCTCTGAATCCTGCTGACTGTGGTCCTGTAGATTGTGCTGTGGATCTGAGCGTGTTCCAGGAGCGTGGGAACTGTTGCTGCCCCAGGTCCCTTCCTCATTGCGCTCGGGTTAATCCCTCCTTTGGCCGGCGTCTCCCACAGCTTGTAGTTACCTGAAACGTTCACTTAGGGTGGAATGCCTTACTGCTCGGCAAGGATGCCAGGTAGCGGGTTCATTCCAACCCTCTGCTCTCCCTGGCTGTCCCTAGGGCCGCTGCATCGTTGTGACGAAGCCTGAAGAAGCCAACAGTAGAAAACGATCAGCTCCTCTGATCTCCTTGAACATGAATGACTGTTATTCCATAAAATAGTTTTTTGTTCATTGTAACAGTTTTCTGCTTTCCACCCCAAATCCACGTTTGTGTCTCTGTGTGTTAAATCTCTCTTCCTAGGGTCATAACATTTCTTATTATTAATTTTACTGGGAGGTCCTGGAGAGGAGTCTTTATTACTATCACTGTAGCAGAAAAGAAAGCAAGCAGGAGACCTCTTTACCGGATAAGTAAACATTGTTTCAGAATGGCTCACCTTGGAGTGCATTTTGGGGGATGCTGGGGGCAGCATTGTGACCGTGAAGCTTCTTAACAGATCATCTACATTCCTTGAGTTCTGTGTGGTCTGTCTCAGGTGCTTAATCTGACATTTGATGAGACTCCTGTTGACTTACAGCAAGTCTATAGGGTCCCTTCTAAGATTGTGTGTTTCTGTGACATAAAGACGTTTTACTAATCACATACACACACAACACACACACACACACACACACACACACACACACTGTCTCTCCCCCTGTGGCTTTGAGTTTATACTTATATTTGTTTTAACTTTTGTTTTTGGGTGCTCGCTTCGGCGGCACATACACTAAAAAGCTTTTGCTTTTGGTTGCCTTCTGTAAAAACTGGAAGCTGAGCTGTTCTTCAGAGAAGCGCTGATGCAGATCTAAACTTTGGGTGTGTTTTTCACCCTGACACTGACTCTTGTCATTTACAGACACTCGAAGTAAAAAATTTTTCAGGTGATGAGAAAATGGTTCATTCTGAAAACATAGCACCTTCCATTTTACAGTAACCCTGGTACTGTGGCTGAGACGTGTGTGTGTGTGTTTGGGGAGGAGGGACGCAGTTTACTGACTTGCTACCTGCTTGCTTGACTGTTACTGCATAGGAAGGAAAGGGACACGTTGGCAGACAGTTACGGGAGCCAGAGCAAGCATGATAGGATGAAACTACCTCTCACCCTAAGCTTGGAGCCCCCCGGGCAAACCTGTACCCCAGGCAGGGCCCAGACACCTCTGGCAGCCTTGGGTGCCTGATTTGCTCCTGCCTTTCTTCTTGTTGGCAGTTTTTAGGGCCATACAAAATGTCTTCAGCCCTTCTGGTCTATAAAGCACAGACGCCTGTGCAGTGTGGCTTGTTCATTCTCTTTTTTCTCCCTTCTCCTATGTAAAATCCTGTTCTTTTCCTCAAACCTGGTGGAAAAGCCTCAGCAAGTTTAGGAATACCCGTAGCCTTCAGGAGGCCCATTCTAGTAACTTGAAGTCATCTACATCTTCCCGGGAGGAAATGCCTGCCATCTCGTCAGCCCTGGGGGCTTCCTCACACAGGTAAATAATATTTCCCATGTGTGTTAGGCTGGAAGACTGTCGCATCTTTGCTCTTGGTTTTTTTCTGGTACCAGGAATCGAACTCATGACCTCGCGCTTGCCAGGCAGGCTCTGTGCCGCTGAGCTAAATCCCCAGCCCCTATCTTTGCTCTTATGCTTGAAAACAAAAACAAAAACAAACACAAAAAAGCCAGGTACATTGGGGCGCACCTGTTGTCCCAGCTACTCGGGAAGCTGAGCAGAAGGATCCTTGAGCTCAAGAGTTCAAAGCTGCCCGGGCAACTTAGTAAGATCCTGTTGAAAGAAAAAAAGAAGGAACAAATCTAAAACAGAGCAAAACTTAAAAAAAAAATACTTTGACTACACTCCACCACTTGCCTTCTAAAGCAACTCCTCTGGATGACCTTCTGGGTACTTGGAGTCCGCAGTCATATTCTGAAGGCTGTCTTTCCTCTTTCCTGTACCAAACGTGCAGTACCGGCAGAGACCTATGCAAGGCCAACAGCTCATTTTAACCCTAGACCAGGAGTTTGCAGCTAAGCTGTCAGGCTCCGTTACATGTCAGCAATCAATTTAGCTTTACTTCCTCCAAGCCTTGTTTTTAGCTATTAAAAAAAAATATATTCATAAAGCATTTACTATTATGTAGGATGTAAGCTCACTGTAGTGGAGCATCATAGGTTCTCTTTTTTTTTTTTTTTAAATTTTTGATGTTTTGGTACTGGGAATTGAACTCATGACCTCAGGCTTCCCAGGCAAACACTTATGCCACTGAGCTATATCACCAGCCCATCATAGGTTTTCTTTAAGGGTGTTTATTGTGGCTGTTGTAGCCAGAGCTAACCGGGCAGAATCTCTGAAGTGAAGCTCTTAGAAGCCATTTACTAGAAAGGACAGATACAGGAGGTGTGATTGGAAAAAATGGTAAATGTTTAACAATTTTTAAAAATTTATTATAGTAAAAGAGACATTAATTCCTCTCAAAATACTCCCCCTGAGTTGGAGCACACTTATCCCATCATCCTTGCCACTTTCTGAAGCGGTTCTGGAAGACCTCTTCTGTGAGTGTCTTTAGTTGCACTGCCTCTGTGCCCTGAATTGATTCCAAATGTTTACCTGTCATGGTCATTTGGACTTTGGGGAGGACCCGGAAGTCGCATGGTGTCAGATCTGGTGAGTGAGGTGGATGAGGAAACCCCGTAACATTTCTGTGAGCCTGCTTTTCTGTTGGATGACACTCAGCAGCAGCAGCAGTCATTGTTATCTCTTTAAAATCACGCCGCATAAACCCAAGAGAGCGGACTTGCAGAACTGCTTCAGAAAGTGGCAAAAAAGCGCCTGCCTGGCAAGCGCAAGATCGTGAGTTTGGTTTCTGGTACCGAAGAAAAACCAAAAAAAAAAAAGACTAACAGAAAGTGGCAAGAAAGATGGGATAAGTGTGTTTGAAAGCAGGGGCAGTATTGTGAGTATGATTAATGCCAAGGTGTCTTTTAATGTCCTAATTTTTAAAAACGTAAACACTTGCTGTGTATTTCAGTCACCCCTCGTATCATGAGCGTCCAGGATAGAGAACACTCCACTGCCAGGAGTACCAGTACCAGATCCCTGCCCCACGGTGACTGGCATTCAGCTTGGAGACTTGATTCTAGTGTCCTGCCCTGTGGTGACAAAGAGCTACTGGCCCAGCTCTGCCTACAACTGGCCCCCGGTACCTTGCTCAAGTACTGAGCCAGCTACCCGTGAGTCGGTGAGAAAATCCAATCCAGATTTCCCCAGGGATGAATTCATTCCCAGGATTGTAAATACTACCTTCACCCACTCACCGTACAGAGTGGTGAGCAGAGGAGACAGACAGGGTGAAGTGCCTGGCAGGACCCCACCATTGTACACGGCGCAGAGCAGGACTGCACACGTTCTCTATTTCTTTGCATTCTGCTGCTCTTTATTTGTAGTAGCAGGTAAGGGCCTCCCTGGCAACGGTGAGGCCCTGAGTTTGATTCCCGATAACCAAACAAAGGGAAAAAAAAAAAAAGCAAATACGAATGCTTTGACCGGAGCTTGTGCCTCTTACAGTACCTTTAGTAAAATCTTTTTTTCTTCCTTGAGAAAAGACACCTTTTATTTTTGTAAAAATTTATGCAAGTTTTATTTTTGAAAAACTTCAGATCTCTGTCTCCCAGCCCATCTGCATCTACCCTGTGTTCTCACTGCTTTCAGTTTGTGAAAGCTCGTTCTAAAATTACACGAAAGCAGCCCCGTTCTGACAAAACTAGGGTTCCAGGGGGAAAGCCTTACACCGTGAGGCTGGGGAGAGAAGCCCAGCAAGACTTTCCTGCTTCATTTCAACCTCTTTCAGCTCAACCTACAGTTTGGCCGATGACAGAGTTACTTCCCCAAGGCAGGTGTTTGTCTCTGGTTGGAGAAATAACTGGCTCCAAAGTAGTCCCCTGTTTGAAAGATGCTGCAGATGGAGCCTCTGTTCATCCTCATGTGCTGGCGTCGGGGCTTTCATCTCTCTGGAGCTCCTGACAGAAAATTCCCTGAGACTTTCTATTACCAGGCACGGCATTTGTTTGAATCCTCTGGGGCTGTGCTTCTGTCTTGTTTACCTTCTCTCCCTGTGATTCATCCTGCTCATGTTTAACACCAGAGCGTTTCTCAAATCTGTGTCCTCAGTACGTCTCACTGGTGATCCGACTCCACCTTCGTCGGCACTGCCCTGGCTCCAGCCGTCTTTCTCATCCAGATCCGTGCCTGGCTTGTATTATGGGCTTCATAAATCGGGGTCGGTGAATGAATGAATGAGTCTAGGCAGTTGCTCTCTTATATAAAAACAAGTTAAGGTTTATCTTCTGTATGGTTCCTAAGGGTGTCTCTCTAACATGCAAAGCATAAAAGACCTTTCAGACGGCTACCAGGCCTCTCCAACAGCTGCCCTCCAGGGCGTCTCTCCCTGCAGCTCACCCACACCTGACCAGTTTCTGCACATCCCTCCTGCCCCACTGCCACCTACTGGGACCCCAAATACCCGCTTCTTTCTTTTTTTTTTTAAGAGTAGGAAATTTTATTGAGGGAAAGGCAGGTCCTCCTAAGAGAGACAGGAGGGGACCCAGAAAATGGGTTGCCCAGGAGCTCACTTCTCAGGGGAAGTTTTATAGAGCAAAATCATGAAGTGAGTACAAGATGGAACAAACTGTGATCAACCAGTAAGATTATGAATACAGTCGCTGAGGTAATATTGGTCCAGTGGGGAAGCAGGTCACGTAGCAGGCGTGCATGGGAAGAAGAAGGGCCTTTCCTGGAAGGGATGGGCCAGGAAGTCTTAGTCCCCCCCCCAGGTGACTCATGCCTATTTAGAATATTGATCATAGTTGCTTATCCTGCAGTAAGTACCTAGGTGTAGTCATTCTACCTTTATCTTAACGCCTGGCTGTGAATGTGCCTCTAGCCACAGTTGTAATGTGTCCTTATCTTCTGCACTGACTTCTTCAGGGCCTACCCTTGTCCAACTGCCTATAATGTTTTTACCTAACTTAGCTACCTGTAATATTCCTCCTTCTGAAGAAGTACCCCTAATTGTCATGAGGGGGCAAGGGGCAATGATCATGCTGGCTATTTCAGGCTGAAGGAGGTTATAGTTGTGATCAGCAGTCAAACATACTCTACCGAGGGTCTATCTAAAGACCCTCAATAGACCCCAGGTGTTCTTGTCTTGGGTAGGTGTACAGCTCTAAGTTTGAAGGAGACAAAGCCAAAGAAACAGTTAAGTATGCACAGGCCAAATAATAAGATCAATAAAGTTATTATTTATATAGCCAACACACAAAAGTTTTTTTACCAGGAAGAGCTGGTAATAACCTCCCACAAAAGGCTAAGGAAAAGGTCTAGGGAAAGGGCCAGTAATAGCCTCCCACAAAAAGGGTAAGGAGGTCTAGGGAATTTTAGAATCTGATATGGCATTAACCTGCCATTTAATATCTTAGATAGCCATTGAGATATTACCAGAAGGGTCAGGAATGTACACACAACATTCAGCTTTTACAATTGCACAAGTATCCCTGTGTGCTGCTATTAGAAGTCAAATGCCATCTGATTTTGGTGGATGGCTTGCCTCATTAATTTTACTTCTTCATTTTGGAGAGAGACACCAATCGAGGTGTCATTTAAGGCCTGCTGAGTATAGTCAAGGCCTCCATGTATTGTGTAACATCCTCTAATTCTAGAAAGGGATAAAGATAGAAGTCAGATAATCATACAAATGAAACTCACTTTTGGAGCATCAGTGTTGTAGATGGAGTAAATTTGCAGGTTTGCCAATACTTGTAACACTCTTGCCTTGTAGCCACACAAGTCCCAGCATGCATCTCTCTATCCATCTGGGGGCGTCCAGGGCCACAAATTGGTTCTGCATGCCCAGTGAGTGCCACTGGGGGCTTCCCATCTAATTCCAGGGTGATTAAACCAGTCTGTTGCAAACCAGTCTTCGACCTGTAAAGTTATGGTGTGTATACACTGTTCAAGAGGTGTGCATTCCTTGTATTTAGCAGAGTTTGGCCAATGAGGAGTGATTTCTCTGTTCCCAACATAAGGGGGCCTTTCTACTAAGGTGTCCTACACTAAGGGTTAACGGTATATAGTAATCATCAGTATAAATATTGACCTTTTATCCTTCACTGGGTTGTAAAGCCCTGGTTAGAGCTATGAGTTCTGCTAGCTGAGCACTAGTCTCAGGGGCAAGTGAGGAACTTTCAAGTGTCTGATGTAGAGTCCCCTTCTTTATCTTGCCCATCCATCAAGACTCACACTTTCTCCTTGGAAATCTTGTCCCCATTTCCTGGAAACAATAGATTGTCTTTTTTTTTAATTAACTAGGTTTATTGGTACATTTTACATATACATAATGATCACATTCGTTACAGGGGATCATCCCTCGTGTGTGGTTTTTATAATGACACAAACTCTTTAGAGCTCATCGCATGCCCAGGCTCCCCTCTGCCCCTTCCCAAGTCTTCCTCAGACCACCTATCGGGATTTAACTGTAGATCCGAAGTAGGGAGCTTCAGGTTTGGTCTGTCTGGGTTGAAGCTGGAAAACTAATCTATGCTAGACACAGAAATCAAACCACGCAAGAGCCAATCCGTATATTGTAGGGACAGCAACTCTTCTTTCCCCCAGAGCCAGTCTCATCACTCTCGCCACTTTATAGTTGTTGTAAACACTGTATGCTAATGCAGTATGGTGTGAGAACTGGGATTCAGAGAACCACATAAGGGTTTCAGTTCTGCTTCCCTCCAGGTATCAGCCATGAAAACTCTCCCAGCCTCATCAACCAAATCTGCAAAATCTGATTACCTGGGGATTGAGGGAGGCAAACTCTTGAGATCCTGTCCATGTCTAACATGCTAATTCAAAGACCACGTGGGGGCTGGGAATGTAGCTCAGTGTGAGGGGCCTAGCACATACGAGGGTTCAATGCCTATAAAAGCATATACGAGGCCCTGGGTTCAGGGCACCTAAAAATAAAATAATGAGAAAAAAAGAAAGAAAAAGGACTGCTGTCTGACCTCTGAACAGCAACAATAAAAGCCTGAAGGCTGCACAGAACCTATTAACCTGTGTGTACAGGTAGATGATGAAAGAATTTCAAGGGATCCAGGGACCCCTGAAATGCTATGGAAAACCCTATGTGTTGGCCATGTCATCTTGGTCCACGTGGGGATTTTCTTGCCTTTGCTTTCTCTCAGGGTAATGATAGCTTATGGCTGCCCTACTGTACATTAACATGCATAAAGAAAGTGATTGGTTTTTGGTTTTTGTCTTGGTTTTTTTGGAGACAGGGTCCTGCTATGTTGTCTAAGTTGGCATTAAACTCACTGTGTAGCCTAGGCTGGCCTTAGATTTGCAGTAATCCTCCTGCCTCAGCCTCCTGAGTTTTAAGATTACGGGCATGCACCACCAGACCCAGCCAAAAGTCACTGGTTTTTTTTTTTTTGTGTGTGTGTGGGGGGGTGCCAGGAATCAAACTGACAACTTCACACTTGCCAGGCAGGCACTGTGTTGCTGAGCTATATTCCTGGCCCAAGTCATTGTTTTTTATTTTTATTTTTTAAATTTTTTTTATTTTAAGAAATAAAAGAAGGAAAACATATTAACAAACAGACATCCATTTACAAAATACCATAAGAACAATACAAACAAAACAGAGTTACAGACAAAGTTGTAGGAAATTAACAATAGTTGTATTAATGATATCTTCAAAGTGGTTTCTCAAGAAAACGAGACATATAAGATTGATCAAACAAGTAATCATTAACTGTTCCTTTCTGTAGAACAATAGAAGACAGTAGTACAACTATGTTAGCTGTCCTCTATATACATAGTTACATAATTTCCTCTTCTTTCCCTTCTCTTTTCCCACACCCCAGTTGCCCTTTACTTTTGAGCCTTTTCCTTTCATTTCACAATGTCTATCATACCTCCTAGTTTTTATTCATTTTTTCAGGTCTTACACTAGTGAGACAATATGATGCTTACACATGCAGGTCTGATTTATTTCACTTATGAGTATGGTCTGTAACTGTGACCATTTACCTATAAAAGCCTCGAGTTTATCTTTCTTTATAGCTGAGCAATATTCCATTATTTAAATGTATCACAATTTTTTTATCCAGTCCTCAGTGGATGGACACTTGGGTTGCTTCCATGATTTAGCAATTACAAATTGTGCTGCTATGAACATAGGTGCACGTATATCGCTGTGATATGATGTTTTCAAATCTTCTGGGAAAATACCCAGAAAGGGAGTAGCTGGGTTGAATGGGACCTCTAGACCTAGTTTGCTGAGAAATCTCCAAACTGATTTCCACAGTGGTTTCACCAGTCTGCATTCCCACCAACAGTAGAGAAGAGTTCCTATTTCTCCACAGCCTCACCAGCATTTGTTACTGGTTGAGTTCTTAATGCTAGCCATTCTTACTGGGGTGAGATGAAATCTCAGTGTTGTTGTAATTTGCATTTCTCGAATGACTAATGATGTGGAACATTTTCTCATGTATTTATTTGCCATTTGTATTTCTTTATCTGAGAAGTGTGTATTCGTCTCAGTTGCCCATTTTTGGATTGGGTCTTTGAATTTGGGGGGCCTGATATTTTTTAATTCTTTATATGTTCTAGATAAAAGACCTTTGTCCGAGGGACAGTCAGCTAAAATTTTTTCCCAATTTGTGGGTTTTCTTTCTACTCTGCTGGTGATTTCTTCAGATGTGCAGAAACCTTTCAGTAGGATGAGATCCTGTCATTGTTTTTTAAAGTAGCAATAGTGCTTCTTCTAGGGTATCTTTGTGGTTAGTTTGGTGTTTTGTTTTGCCAATTCATCACCACTGAATTTCCTGAAGGGAGGTGCGATGCTAGCTAGAGGAAGAAGACGGCACAAGAGAAGCAAACTCCTCAAGTGCCCCCCAGAGAAACATCGACCCTGCAGGGCTTGGACTTTGTATCTCTTTTTTGGTTCTGCTTGATCCAACCCATGAAATGGCTTTTATGGGTCCGCCTGCTTTTGATCCAGCCAGGATGCAGGCCTAGACATCAAGATGTAAAGTGTAAAGCAGGCAGGCATGCTGCTGCCATACGTAACTGGAAAACTGGAACACTGGGCTATGGGTATTACCCTCAGCTCTGCAGTTATGGGGATGGGGACCTTCAGCTGCTAGTCTGCTCTCCGCTATTTTTTTTTTGCCCCAGGTGATATCAAGTGCCTGCTTGGTGCCGGGCACTGTCAGCCTGTTGGAAGTAATGTTGAGCCAACTAGATGTCTGCCTGTGTGGAGAACATAGAACCATAGCACAGGCAGGTCCTTTCCTTTTTTTTTTTTTTTTTTTGGTTTTTTGGTTTTTTTTTCCGGTACCGGGAATCAAACTCACGACCTTGCGCTTGCCAGGCAAGCGCTGTGCCGCTGAGAGCAGGTCCTTTCCTATCCCCATCAAAATAAGGCTCCAGCTGAGGAAGGACTTGAGTCATATTAAAAGGATTAAATTCACAACATTGGATCTGGAATGGCATTGACCCCAGAGCTGCTTATTCTATGAGAGCTTCCTCTTAGCATTCAGGAAGTTCAGTGCAGAAATCCAAAGACCTCTCCTGGTGGCGGTGACACTCGCCAAGGGGCTACAGGACTGAGTCCCTCTCTCCACAGGGCTCCCAAGAAGTTCTGGGAGCCTCCACAATGACTCCCAGAGCTCCTCGTGTTCTCTGCTAGAAAACATATCAGTGCTGCACAACTGGGAAACGTGAGCCTGCGTGGGGGAAATTTGGCACAAAGAAAGCTCAAAAAGCGGCTCGGCCAGGCACTGTGTAATTCCTGTGAAAAAATGCAGGCTCACGTCAAGTTAATTTGTCAGAAGGGCAGGGATTTGCTGAAGTTCTGACCACCACACTGGGAGAGCTGATGTAACACCTGTCCCCTCACCCCCCACCCCAGCTCTGGACAAAGGCTGGCTCCACCCCGGAACACAGCCATCATTATAGGTCCCCCGTTCTGAAGGGGCAGGGCGGTAACTGGGGATTTTGATGGGTCAGCGGCTGACTCGAGTTGAGTTCCCAGAGCAGACTTAAATTCAGTTTGCCTAACATTTATAGAGCGCTTGCTGATGATACACCACCTGCGTACTGGCCATACCTAGAACAGTAATGGGACACCAGGGGCCTCATTTCTCCGAGCACCCACCCTTTGCTCTTGAGTGCATCCTACATCTTTACCTGTAATAAACCTTCTCATAGCTCTTTAAAAAAAAAAAAAAAAAAAAAGGCACTCTCCCTGGAGAAGCTCCCGGGGCGCGGAACAGCGCAGCGTGGTCCGATAGTAAAGGGGCGCAGGGGCCAGGCAAGGAGGAGGTTTTCTCAAGATCACCCTCCGCTGTGAGAATCTTCTGAGTGTCTGAAGATCCAGGAGTAAAGGAAGTGACAGTACCAAAGCACAGAAGGCCAAAGCGAGGCGTGAACTATTAAGCCAGTAAGTTAAGACGGCAGGGTAGGCAGGGGCTAGGGTACAAATTTAGGGCAGCGGTCACTCGAAGGGTTGTTCGCCAACAGGCGTGGCCCCCGAGAGCATGTGTCTCCGTAAGTGCTGTTTGGGTTTGGTTTGGTTTCTGAGGTACCGGAGACTGAACGCAGGGCCTTACTTTGAAGTATTTTAAGCTAGGATGACTGACCTAGTAAAATCGGTATTTTAGAAATACTGCCTCGGTAACGCCGGGGTGAGGCTTGACCAAAGACAGACCCGTTAGTTGGAAGGCCTGAGCCGCGTGTGTGCGTGGCAAAGCCGTGCACTGGTCCTTGGTTTGGGCAGCAGAGGTGAAGACCCCGAGCGGTGTGCAGGGAAGGGAGGGGTGGCGCGGCTCGGGGGAGCTGGGGTGTGGGCTGGGGAGCCCCAGAGGTTCTGGTACCCGGCGGGGAGCAGGTGGACAGGTGAGTGTGATGTGAGAAGAGAGAGCTGGCGGTGCAAATCAACCACGCGTCCTTCACAGACGCCCTCTGGATGTCCCGAGGAGGAAGCAGACTGAGGAGAGCAGCGGGGTGGGGACTAACCGCAGAGGTGCCCAAGGAAACGCCACCAACACCGAGGGCACAAGAAAGGCCACGCTGTGGGTGCTGAGGGAGATGGCCAGGGGTGCAAGACGAAGGAGAAAGGGTGTCTGAAGTCACGGAGTGACCAGCAGCGTCAGAGACCTGGGGAAAGTGAGGGGCTCTTGTCATGGCCGTAGCTGACACCATTTAACAGTGTGGCCCAAGCAGGAACCAGGATGTGACAGCTTGAAAAGTGACAGGCGTGAGCAGAGGGAGAGGCTGTAGACCGACAGGTGGATCCCAGTTACCGTTGAGGAATCCTGGGTCCCGCTCCAGAGCTCCAGGCTCTCTTGCTTTAGCCCGGGGGCAGGGCCTGCCTGTCCTCACCGTGGCCTACCTGAAACCTGGCTCAGCTAGCTGTGAAAGGAAGAAGGGAGCCGCCTCCGTGAGGCGGAGCTGCGGGGTCAAGCACAGGTTGTTCTTTAGGGACAGAGAGCCTGTCTTGAGACAAATGTAAGAGAGGGCTCCCAGAATCCAGTGAAAGACTGAGGCCTTGAATTTGTGCTTCCCGTGTTTCTCTCAGCAGCATGGAGCTGGGGACAGAAGGCAGATGACGATGGGTAATTCACAGTTGCCAGACAGCAGGGGCAGGAAGTCAGGGAGTAAGGCAGATCAGTGAGTGGCTCTAACCAAGTGGCTCAGGTCAGTGGGTAGCAGGGGGCGTGAGGGACCTGAAAGACACGTAGCAGGGGAAATATGGCGACACCAGGGGACTGCCAGTCTCTAGAGGAGAACAAACAGACCAAGCTGCAGTGTCCCTTCGAGCCCCACAGCAGGAAGATCTGGAGGCCGCAGACAGATGGTGGGCACCTGCAGGGTGAGCTTTCTGCTGGAGGCTCATTCCCCTGATAGGGATCTAAGATGGAAAAATACTGTCATGCGAACAGCTTGTGTGGGTCTGTGACGTGTGTGAAATTGTCTTTTCCCCTGAAAATGACGTACGGTTCCATTTAACATTTTGTGTTTTGGATACCGTGTCATATCCAGAAGCAGTACCCTCCCCCGTGGCAAGTCTAAGTAAAATAAGAAAATGCTTAGTGGAAAGGAAACACACACACACACACACACATACACACACACAGTACACCACACACACAGAGCAATAGAATAAAGCCACAAACCAGCAGAGGACGGGGAAGAACTGCAGGCAAGCTTAGAGGTTGTGTGCTCTATGAAAATTTATAGAACTGTTACCTTT